CACACGAACATGTACAACACGTCGTAAAACTGGTCATATCCTATCCGGGAACTACATTCCCTATCATGGGGACGAGTCGCCAATCCACCACCACTTGCTCCGATCAGCAGATACAATGAAGTCCGTGATGCTAACTTATCAACAGAAATTCTTGACCCATAGATAATATGCAAGGGTGGGATCTCCAATTTTGACATTTCATCGTCTCCAGAAGACTTTAAGTAGCATGACGTGGGATCAATATTTATCTTTCCATCTCCTGATACAGAGGAGGTTTGATCAGTATTCGTCATCGTCGGTAACTCATTTGTCACATCAGTGACATCCAGATTATTATCAACGCCATCATGATTCCGTTCTGTCAGACAAGTCGCGTCGATTCGGTCTGCACTAGTATCCGTAGAGTGAGACTCTTCCATTTTTGTATAACTCATATCACTACATGAAAGAACAGCATTAGTATCGCAATTCGAAACTGATATACTCACTTGTTGTTCTTCATGTTCCGTTTCAGAGACACAAGACATATGCTCATCAATAGCATCGTCATCACACAACACTGTAGACTGGCTGTTACCATCAAACACTTTCTTCTCATCATCACTCGACTGACAGTCAACCGGAATAGGAACAGTTACAGTTGCACAACCTTGTGCATCTTCAATCAACTTAACATTCGTGACGAGGTCCAATGACGTCAAAACACTAGAAGGCTCATTCGATGAAGTTGATAGACTAGTCACTATAAGTGGACTGCTGACACTTTCTGTCTCCTTATTATCACTGTCACTACTAAGGTTCTGATGGCTACTATTTCCATTGCTAGTCATAGCATCCGAAAGAGAATGAGGTTTAGGCTTCTTTATAATAGTAGCATCATGTTGTCTCCTAGGCTTCTTAGCCTTTACAGTACCACCATCACTTATCCTAGAATCTACTCTAGGTCCAGTTATATAATTTACCCTAAATGAAGGGTTCCGAAAATAGGCTTTATTCCGTTCAGACAATCCTGCCTGGGCCTTCTTCATATTTACTGAACCCATTAACCTCTGATTACTCGAATCCAAATAACCGTTCCAGGCTTTTCGAGCAGCTAAGAGGCTTTTATCATCACACACTTCGGATCCATCTTGATGCCTACACTTTTCACCTTTTTCTTTCTTTTCCATACTTAGAAAAGCCATCTTATCTGTTACACCAACCGGCTTCTTACTAGGACTCGCATCAAGAGGTTTTACATCGTTACGGTCACATACTCGTCCTTCATCAGCGTATGCTTTCGTGATATAATTGACAACTCTCTTATCTTCCGAGCGTGCGTTAGGTAGAAACGAAAAATCCTCATGTCTCGCACGCAGACCACTAGTAGCTTCCGTATTATTTCCTGTTTTAGCCCGATAAGCTAATCTTCCGAACCTACTACTAGCTATCTTAGCGCGAGACATAATAAATTCCGTCAAATCATTGAAATTAGGCTCTCTCTCCTCTTCGTCCCACTTGATTCCTAGCTCTGCCCACTGGGCTTGCATTCGACGAGGTAAGAGCCTGACTATTCGTTCTAAAGTAACCAAGGAATTAAGTTCCGTTGTGCAATTTAGCTGTTCTAAGGTTAAAGCAGCATTCTGCATTTTAATAGCCAAATTCGTCAATAATTCAGGATCATTAAAATCTGCGTTCCCAGTTCTAAATAAGTCCTCTAAGGTTTCCCGGGCTATTACATGCGACTGTCCAAAGAGCTGTTTTAAAATGGCCTTAGCTCTCTTATATCCTGCTTGTGGATCCATAATAATACAACCTTCAATCGCATTTTTTGCCCTTCCTTTACAATAATGAATTAAATACAATAAACGAACTTGGTCATCTTTTATTCTGGGTTCTATAAACGTTTCGATTTGGCGCATAAACCTAAAGTAGTCGCGAGACTTTCCATCAAAATATGAAAGTTCGACCTTAGGTAGTTCTAAACCTACTATCGGTGTCCTAAGCATCTGATCGGTCTCTGGTACCTTAGAACTCTCACTTAATCCTGGTTCCTTAATGCCTGCCAAAGGTGACTTACAATAATAAGTATCAGACATAACATGTGGGTTACCCATAAAAAATTCATCATTAACGACTTGCTTAGAGTTCTGGGATCCGTCGAGCTCTTCCACCCTCCTCATGTTTGATTTCTTTCGACTTGACATCATAAATGAAGTTCAATATAAGAAAAATAACAAATACAAAATATAGTAATTCCACAGATCAGTTCAAGAAGAAATGTCCAGGATCCAAATTTCTTCCTCCAAGATACAATTCGAATACGAAAATATGATAAATAATCCAAAATTCTTCTTCGAAGAAAGTTCAGTGTGATAAACGATTAAATTTCCAAATGTTTCTTTATAATTCTTAATAATCCAACTGTAATTGGTCTTCTAATCAAAAGGTAATAGATAATTCCAGAATATAAATGTTCTTAGGAATAATTGCAGACTGTAAATGAATTTCTACAGTGGCCGTTCCAATGGGTTCCAATAGGTGCACTCCTGTACGATTCTCCCAGTCCCAGGTCCCAACAAATCAAAAAGGACAAAAATTCTAGGAGAAAGCGTCTTATTTAAATAAAAACATGGAAATACAAAGCATTACCTGGAAATAATGCCTCTTCCAGGATACAATTACTCCGAAGAGTATCAGAAACAGTGATAGATAAGTGACGCTAAGTCCAGCGGCCACTGCATCAATCCAAATATGGCTGTAGCCATATTAAAGATCAAATTTAAACAACATATATACAGATCAGAAGCAAACACAAAAACTTCAATATAAGTACAAAATATAGAAAGAATAACAATATACAATGATAAAATCTCAAATTGGAATCAAATAAAATACCAAAAATGTCAACAGAAAAAGTCCGTCATGTCATAACAAAAATATGTAAACATGGAGGGATTTTCTAATACACAAAACATTCAAAAAGGATTCTACAGGCAGTACTAATCGGCAAGTGAGTAATTTTTCAATTTCAAGTCGAAATTAAAGATAGACCTATATCCAAAAAGAATAATTTGACAGTACTCCAAAGAGGAGGAAATGCAGCTCCAGATTCGACATAGCTTGAAAGTGTAGAGCCAGCAATGGATGTACAGGATGTGAGTGATTTCACGTATGCAGGGGAACCGACGCCGACGATGGCTTCATCAAGAAGAATTACAAACATATGCAGTCTTTCTGCAATGAGTATTTTCAAGAGAAGGCTTTCCTATATCAGTGCATACTTAATGTGCATGCAGTCCTCTCGAGTTTTTGCTTCATACTTCCCAAGTTTGACTGTCTGTGATTTATCTCAAAAGTTGTGTGAAAATGTGCATAGGATAAAGACTGCATTACAGGAGCTCGGAGGAAAGAATTAGATTGAATTTCTAGCAAATCAGACAGGCAAAGTCGGAAAGTAAGAACGAAAAGTACTCTGCAGCAAGCCTTAGACATATTTGGTACAGAATATTTCTAGATTCATTGTGAAGGAAACTACGCAAACTGAAATATATCTATTTTCTCATATAGGATACTGGTGAAAATATTATAGGAAAAGTTTAGTCTGTTCCAGTAATTCAGTATCAGGTCAGTTTGCTGATCAAAGTTTAGACAATACATTCTAGCTGAGAGTGGGATTTAATTTGGCTGACATAAAAATACAGCATAATCACTCGTTGCTTTTGATCGCCTCTGCTGGTAACCTTATTCAAGAAATCTATCAGGTATGTAGTGTATAGCCTAACTCTCATGAATCCATGTTTCGAACGGTCGATAGGTAAGGAAAGTCATGTGATGAACGTTACATGGAGATTTCTGTAAAGGAAACCTTCAAAAATGTTTTTCTCGATATTCAAATGTTTCTCTACACAGCTGGTGCGAACAGTGCGAAGAGAAAAATAAATTCAATAGCATTATGGGGTAGTAATCCAGGTCAACAATTCTGCGTAGTGTGGAGTTAATTCAAGTGGTCGTAACATCTGTATTATAACCTGCTATCAGGCAGCAGTCAGTAAAGCAGAAATAGGTGCGAGCGGGTAAAATTCTCTGAACACAACGTGTAGGGCGAATATCGATCAGCCGGTTAAAAAAGCCTATCTATAAACGGTACAGGCAAACAATAAATAAGGACAATCAGTGTGAATACACTTTAAGCATCGCGAAAGAAAATTAAACATGGTCATTTACCAAACTTACTTGTCACTGCAGATCACAAGGCATACAGATTCACAGACAGCTGCCAAGCTGACCTTGGATCAGTGCAGTTCAAACGGTAAACTGCCCTTCGCCCTCCGCATTTTACCATGGGCTTGGAACCTAACTGCAACAGCCATTAGCAGGCACATTGAAATAAATTGGTTTATAAAAACTGATGGGAAAGATGGTGGATATTCGGCTTAGCATCAGGGAATTCAGTGCCTCAAAAACAGACTTGATAAACCACTACCAACATACAGCTTACCATCTGCAGCAGCCACCAGCTCTGCTTGATGCATGTCTTGGAACCTGTTAGTTGTTATGATTACCACTTTCTCAGATCTGTAACTCGATCCGTCTGGCCTATTATCTGTGCTTCTCTACTCTTGCCTACATTTCTTTCCTCTGTCACAGTCTTCACTACCAACTGATTTACTTATTTAACCATTTATTAGTTTGTTCTGAGATTTTATTGGCATTGGAATTTTTTCATTATTCGCCAGTCTGATAATGTTATCGCTGCTGGTATCAAAAGACTCTGATCCCTTGAATTATTTGAACTCAGGTAAATCATAAGACATAAAAATTCATTAGTAACTGCAGACTAGAATTAGTTAAGTCAAGTGTCTAAACTATTATCCATTGGAGACTAACAAATACGTGCAAGAGTACAAAATGAACAGAAATCGAGAGCAAAGAGAACATCTGATTTATACTGACTCGTGAAAAAGATATTACATATTGGTCGCTATATTGATGGTTGGACTGAACTTTGTAATGTATCGCGATACTTTGAACGTTGCGTTTCTGATTTGCAGGAAGTCTGTTGTAAGTTGCTTACTATGTTACATTTGTATGATTATGTTAATGGTATCGTATTCTCATTCACATAAGAGAAACTCTGTGTACTGGTGATAGCTGCAATAGGAATTGTGACCATTACCATCTCCTCAGATCACTTACTTAACCTATCTCGCTTATTATCATTGTTTCCTCTCCCTTGCTTACATTACGGTCCTCTCTCACAATCTTCACTACCAAATAATAAACCAAATTATCTATACATTACTTAGTTCTAAAGTCTTATCCATAATAAGACTAGAATTTTATCCTTATTATTCTCCACATTGCAACTAACTGATCTGCGGTCTGGTAATGTGATAGCTGCTGGTATCCAAAACCCCTACAGCCCTGAAACAAACATTTTCGTTGAGATACCGAGACATACAAACTCACAATCAACTTCTAACTGACCAGAATTAGACAGTCAAGTGGCTAGACCCCCATTCATTGGACACTACCAAACACCCGGAACCGTGCCGAAAGAACAAGGATCGAGCGCAAAGAAATCAGCTGGTTTATACTAGCTCGTGAAAAAATATTGGATATGGGATGTATTTATGATATGGAATATCAGAAATATATCAATGGAACAAGGAAATATGAAAAGATTTAAATGTTTTATCAGGATTGGTATTCTGCAAAGTACGTAGAACTGTGACGTTAAACCGCACTACTTTCATGTTCTACTTATTGGTTATGTTCACTGAGTGGTCTCCAAATATAGCTTCCATTTCTAACTCAGATACATGTCAGACTATATGGATAGTGACTTAGGTCACAAATTTATGGAGCCATTCTGTAATTTTCTAGACATTCTAATTCTGCTTAAATCAAGACACGTGGCAGCCATAGTTAAAGAATTCGTTTACTGAGGTAATATTTTTGCTATTGTATTTGGGAAAGTCGATAAACGGTGTTATTTAGGGCATTATCTGACGTCAGATAATGCACAATTACTTCCTTTGGAGTTTCAGAGTATTATAACAACCCGGTCTTTAGAGCTTGGTGTGGTTTATTGTACTGTAATTAGAACAAATCCCAGTTTTTATGATTGATAGTAAACCTGTAAGTCACATTCAAACCTAAAGACTTTAATATTTCGTATTCATTTATTGAATCGTCCCTTTTATTCTAAAATGACAACAAATGTTTAGTAACAGCCCCTAAGGTCCGAATTCATGCTATAACAATATGAAGCTAGAAAACTAAAAAGCAAAACCTCATGATAAATGAAACTATCATTTTCTGTTAAATATCGAGGAATGTTTATGCTCACAAAGAACTTCCACGTATTCATGTTTCAGTCCAAATGTAGAATGTGAACTGCCGTTGTCAATTCACTATCTATCAAATTAGCCTATTACCCTGTCAAACAAATCAGTGACCGTTTAGCTAACAAAGGATTTTTATTCACGGTTATTATTTCAAGTCTTTGTTACAGTTTCATTCTATACTTACTTCTTTGTGTTAATCTTAAGATAGATTGTTCTTTAACTAACGCCTTATCGATTGATTTCTTACCTAAATTCGTACGAAGTCACGACGAAATATCTAGATGGAATTCATTTCTCTGTAATTGATCATAAATGCTCACTTCAAAGTACCTTAGCTAGCATTTAAGATAGTGAGAAATTCTCCGCATCTTACAAATCTAGTGTTATTTTTGGACCAGTTTGTAATAATAGCTGGTGTGATATTGAAAAGTATAGTTTTACCAATGGACCACTTCAAATATGGTTGGTTTTTGTTTAATGGAATACTGATGGCACCCTTGTTTTCTGATTACTACTTCTATCCCATTTTAAATATCCAATGGCGTATTATAGGACTCTATTGACTGTGTTTGGACCGATCGGAAATGTAATAACAAAGTAAAAGACATGCGTAATTTATTATCGTTTTCAACGGCATATTCGAATGATTCCCATACCAGGACGAAACGGCCGTCCAGTGCTTCGAGGTTTCTAATGGTGATCTAACATTGATCGATTCACGATTTCAAATATTCGAATGTGGCGAAACGATTTAGTTATAAGTGTAAATGTTAAGCCTAGAGTAATGGGTACAAGTATGTCACTGGTTTTGATGCTTACTACACTGCTATTGACTTTTCTGAAGATCGTGCGATTCGTTCTCCAAGCATTGCCCTGTTTAGACAGCAGTAGGCGAAATGCATTGTTTAGGTTGTAGGAAAATTAAACGTGTCAAAACAAAAAGTTACTGCGAATCTAAAAGACCAAAAACTACTACTGATTCAGCTCAAGTTACAATCCGCTAAATATTAATGTATCTAGTTCGATTCTACTTAGTTGCAAGAGTGTTGGTTGGAGAAAATTGGTGGGCGGCCTATGCTCCGTTGGGGGTAACAGGCGTAAGTAAGTAAGTCAGTAGTTACAAGAGTAGGTTAGTTGCCATTTTAAAACCTTTAAATGGCCTTTCAAGCCATAATAACTTACGTAAATTCCAACCAAACCACATGATCGAAATGGACCAAATTTCTAAAGATCCTATTGATTAAGGTGTTCGGCATTCAACCATCAGTTCAAAGCTGTACGTCACACTTTACTTTGTTCAGTTCGTTTGCTTACAGTTCCAAATGCACTAACCTGTACTTGAATAGGAATAGGTTGGAAGAAAGTTAGGGGCGGCCAAACCAAAACATGGCAGAAATCCATGAAGTCGTTGACGAGTGGACTTAGCCATGTCGGTAATTGTCGACTACCTGGTTGGGGTCCGCGAGATGATAATAATCGATGGTTAGAGACCTTGAATGACATGGCTCAAAACCGTTTGCAATGGCGCAGGTGCATCCAGTCTTTGCTTTCTCTCAAATCCTAATCTTCTGGGTTCTTCAACACCTCTAGTTTTGTCTTTCTAAACTTTTCTCATTAAATCATACTTCTTGAATAATATCTTCTAATCCTAACCTCTTCGATTACTTCTAATACCTTTACTAACTCTTCTACTATTGGATTTGAATTAACAATTCCATCTCTCTATGGTGATGTGGTATGGCAACATGAACTGATATACTTACGTACGAAGTTCTACACGTTGCATCTGACTGACTGACTGACTGAAATTGTTTATGAACTGATCATTTAGTTCATTAAAAATAATTAGTATTGTCATTTTTTTTTCTCTTGATTACAGTAAAAAAAGAAAAATGGGTGGTAGTATGACAAAAATTTTACCTGGTTTATATGTTGGTGGTTTTGATAATGCTAAAAATGAAGAAGAATTAATGGCTAATTGTATATCACATATTATTATTGTACAAAATTCAAAAAATGACATTGAAAAAGTAAGTATATTGTTATTTATTAAGTTAAATTATCAATAATTATTCATCATTGGTGGTTCATTGTGGTTTTGTACCATCTTTTGATGATGAATATGAAATAGTCATCATCTATTTGGATTTTGTGCACATTGTCCTTCATATATGGGATTTATTTAAAAGGTAGTGAGTGGGTGTATAGATAATTTGAGGTGGAAAAAACTACATTCATGTCTCATTGCAGTCTGGTAAGTAGTGAAACTTCATCAGTTCGAGGTGGTTGGGACATGTGTTATGTATGGCTAACCATCGACTGCCTCGACGAGCTATGTTTTGTAGTGTAGAGGAGTAGGTTGGAAGAAAGTTAGGGGCGGCCAAACCAAAAAACATGGCAGAAATCCATGAAGTCACAAGTGGACAAGTGGACTGAGTCATGTTGGTAGATGCAGACTACCTGGTTGGGGTCCGCGAGACGAAAGTTACCAATGGTTAGCGACCTTGAACAACGACATGGCTCAAAATCGTTTGCAATGACGCAAGTGCATTGATTCGTTGTGTTCTCTCAAATCCTAATCTTCTGGATTCGTCAGCACATCTACCTTTGTCTTTCAAACTTTATCTCACTGAATTATATACTTCTTGAATCATATCTTCGAACCCCTTGTCTTCTTCATTACCATTAATACCTCTACTATCTTTATCACTATGAGATTTGATTTGACATTTGCGTCTCTGTGCTAATGTGGTGGTATGGCAACATGAACTTATGTACACACGTACGAAGTTCTACGTTGTAACTGACTGACTGCAGTCTGGTACAGTTTTTATATCAAATTTAACACCATTTTGATCATTACAATCATTGAGTTTGTATATACCATGATAAAAAGAAGTTTCATAGCATAAATGACAAATTAAACTGTAGATGAATAAATTAACAAAGTCTAATGATCATCGGAGCCGTTTGATAAGTTTCGTCATTACTGTCAAAGGTGTTGATGTGTGGTCGTTCTAAGCAACAATGCAGGCATGTTCAGGGTGTGATTTGCTCCCTCGAAATGAAAAAAATGTTGCTTCAGGATTGGGTTTCTTTGGCATCTGAACTAGTGATAGGGAGTGAAGTAGTTGACCTCTTCGTTTATCTTAGGAGCCTGTTTAGTACTGATGACCTGGTGTGTGACAAAAGTTTAGCACGGATACAGAAGTTTGTACTGGCTTTCACCAATCTGTGTCACTTATGGCTTAGGTGATATATGCGTCTTCTAACCGAAGGACGAATCTACTGCGCAGCAGTTCTCTCTGTTCAACTATACGGGTGTGAAACATGGCCAGTAAGAATAGAGGATTTTCGTAGGTTACTGGTTTTCGATCATAGGTGTCTCTGAAGCATTGCTCGTGTATCCTGGGATCACCCAGTAAGCAATGCTGATGTTAGGAAACGGGTACTAGGTAAGGATGGCAGATCAATAGATGAAGTATTGAAACTTCATCAGTTGAGGTGGTTGGGACATGTGTTACAAATGCTGTAAGGTAGCTAGGGGCGGTGGCCCAACTAAAACGTGACACAAATCCATGAAGCATTTGACGACTAGACTGAGCCATGTTAGTAGGTGTAGACTACCTGGTTGGAGCCTTCGAGACACTAGTAACCAGTGGTTAGAAAATTTGAATAGCATGGTTTGAAATCGTTTGTAATAGCGCAATTGCATGCATTCTTTATCTTCACTCAAATTCTGATCTTCTGAATTCATCATCACATCTGTCTTTTTCTTTTTAAATTTATTTAACTGAATTATGCTTCTTGAATAATATCTTCGAAACCTAATCTTCTCCATTACCACTAATACTTCTACTATATCTATCACTATGGTATTTGAATTGACAATCGCATCTCTGTGCTAATGTTGTATGGTGATTTGAAACGGATATACGTGCGAAATTCATGCACTCTTCCCATACACTAGTCCTATCAGCCTCTCGAACAAAATGACAACGTGAGAAAGAAATTTTATTTGGTTAACCAAATACCCATTCACACATTTTTTGTGTCTCTAATAAATATAAGCTATTTCTTGGTCAGTATTGTGCAGTTTTCGTTTGGTCAGTTCATACTCAATCTAATTTATCAGGCCTACTACCATGTTTCCTTCGATTTCCTCTCTCTGTTTATCGACTTCTAACTGTTCTGATTTTAAAATGTAGCAATTGGAAATGATGCACCGTTGCACCAGCAACTGTGTTTCATGTTAATGACTGGCTAAATTTTTATACTGTGTTTTTATCAATTCACTTCCATTTACGTTATGACTGAACACACAGTCATTTACAACATAGAACTGTTCAAGTCGGCATACCGCATCAGCACAGAGACGCCACCGCCAGTTCAAATCTAATAGTGGTAGAGATAGTTGAAGAATTACTGGTAATGGAAAATATTAGAGATCGAGGGTATTATTCAAGAAGTATAGTTCGGTGGGAAAACTTTGGAAGGAGAAAGATGTAGATGATGAGGAATTTTGAAGATTAGAATTTGAGAGAACGCAAAGAGTGGATGCACCTGCTCCATTGCAAACGATTTTGAGCCATGTCATTCAAGGTCTCTAACCATTGGTTACTATCGTCTCGCGGACCTCAACCAGGTAGCCTACATCTACCAACATGACTCAGTCCACTTGTCAATGGCTTCATGGATTTGTGCCATGTTTTAGTTTGGCCGCCCCTAACTTTCTTCCAACCTATTCCTACACCACAAAACATCGCTCGTTGAGGCAGTTGGTGGTTGGGCATTCGTAACACAAGTCTGAACCACCTCAAACTGATGAAGTCTAGTACTAGTTTCCTAACAACAGCATTACTTACTCAGCTGTCCCAGGGTATGCGAACAATGCTTCAAAGACATCTATAATCGAATACTAGTAACCTATGAATATCCTCAACTCTTACGGTCATGTTTCGCAGCCAAAATATAGGACAGAGTGTACTACCGCACAGTACACTCATCCTTTCAATCAGCAAACGAATATCTCACCTATACCATATAACTGACACAAGTTTAGCAAAAGCCATTCACCACATCTTCTATATATATCCATGCTGAGATTTCGTCAGTCACTTAATGACTAAAACACACATAAAATGATCGATAACACACACACACACACACACACCAAAATTTTCGTTTGTTTGGTATGGTATGTGTGTTATCATTTTCACATGATCTACCATTTCAGAGTACTTTTATTGTTTGTTATATGATTATACTACTATTAGTAGTATTGTTTGTTCCGATAGTATGAGATTGTTTTTCGTAATATTCTATTCCTTGTACACTGGAATTTCTACGAGTTAATACTTGTCTAGTGTTATTGTAAAATTTGAAATCAGAAATTTTTTTTTACCTTCACTACTATATTCACATTGTTTTTGTTCATGAATCGATCATCCAATCGACCAATCGACCGATCGATCGATCGATCAATAATCCAGACATTCATCAATTGTGCGTGTACTCAGTGTTATTATTTAACCATCGACCCTTGCTAGACATGATGTTGTGGTAAATAATGGTGAATATTATTTTGGAAAGCAAATAAAAAAATGCTCTCTCTCTCTCTCTACATATTAAAATGAGAGAGAGAGAGAATAAAAATGTTGATTCGACTGCATTCATTATCAAGTCATGGGATAATTAGTTTGGTGAATTGTGAGGCGTTTTTTTTTTTTTTCAACTAGTGCTAACCACATGTGTGGCTGTGTGTTAAATAAGTGTTATCACGTTAACATGTCTAGACAATCTCGTCTCTCGTCCAGCATAAAAAGTAATATGATTAGGATCATGAGAAATCGATTTTGCGGATCATTAGTTATCATCCTATGAATAGTGGTCTTAGCTTTGTCTTAGCGTTCCCTATCACATGATATTATCAAGCATATGTTTATGTGCTTTTTGAGCCAATCAGAAATGGCCAAATGAGAAGGTCATTTGATGACGAATCAAAAATGTCCTAAAGGACGAATGCATATCATTCATTGGTCAAGACGTGGATTCATGTTACGCCTGCACGTAAACACGTCAACTTGATATACTTAAACAATAACGAGTTTACCTAGTCGGAAAACGAGAGCGAGGATCGAGGATTCGGCGACATGACATGCCACTTAAATCCGATTATTCCAACCCCCATATTTAGTTAAAATAAGAAGACTTGATATATAGTAGAACCTGTATTCTACAAGCATTCAGAAAGTACGAGGTCCGAGACCAGAAGAGAATCAGGATCCCGGACTAGGGATCCGGGACCGGGCCCTGGTCCTGGTCGTGGTCAATAAACGTTACAGATAATGCGTATTTATATATTTTGGTCGAATAGGAAACAGCGTCGAATTCTGTGGCATTGACCGTTAAGACGACCAATAGCAAGTAACATTTGAAGTGACATTGATAGTTGGGACAACCGATGAGCGACAACATTGAAGTATTTGACTTTGACAGTTATAACGACCATAATTTTGACCAATAGAAATCGACCAACAGGATTTGACCAATCCCGACCGAAGCTGCTACCTTGACGTGGTGGTCGGGCTTGCCTATCGTCATGACCCAACCGAGCTATACTGGCTGGAACATATGTTCCTGCAGGTCCTACCATGCCAGGCAGGTCGATTGGAGAACGATGAGACTAAAAGCAGCTACCCAAGGTCTGAGGGCGAAGTCGTACTGCTGACTGCAGAGGGGTGTGACAGCAGTAAGGTGTTTCCCTCGGACAAGCAGCATCTGCAGCGATGCTGCCTTCTCACAAGGAAGGAAGGGTTAGAAAAGGTCGGCCCTAAAAATGTCACACTCCCCCTAACTCACGGATTTCCGTCTCCGTCGGTAAGGGTGCCCACTAAGGGCCTTTAAGAACGGAGCTAATCCTCAAAATACCTTTCATAAAAAGGCCGTGCGTGACCGGCCTCAAGCAGTTGTCCCTTGGACTCTGCGGTCACGCACCAACACTAATCCATCTTCCTTTTCAGGTCCCTCA